AAAACGGTTTCCAGTATTTACGGCTCACAACTTCACCAGTGCTGGACACATAAGAGATTTCTACAGTTAAAGAGCGTAGCCGTATCGCTAACGCACACTTGAAAATCATATGGTAGGACCTAAAAGCGTTCTTGGAAGACAAAAGCATGCCTTAAACAAAGCACTCTAGGGATTTGCATCCGCACGAGCATCTCGTGACAATGTAAACTTTTGTCGAAAGAACTTTGAATTTGCTTTGCTAATGAACGTATACCCATAAATCCTTGAAACCTCATCATTCATGGTTTATACTTTTTAGCGACAACGTTTTTTCAATCAGGTGTATTGACGAGGAACGTGAATGGGAGCCCATGACACATATTAAATTTAGACCTACATAATATTGCTTCAGTGATGAGATATGAGATGACACTAGTTCACGTACTGATGTTTATTTCCTTTCTTAACCTTACTTCCATAAACATTGTGAGAACTAAAATTAAGGTAAGAGTATTTTACAAATAAGGTTGTGAAATTACGGAAATACATTCATTTCAACCGTAGAAAGCAACAAGATAGAAAAGTAAAAACTTAAAATTGACAAATAACGATAAATGATGTCGTGTGTAAACTTAACTTCGTCTAAAATCTAAAATCTTTATTTCACAATGCAATCAGCGATAAAATCGGTTTAAAGGATAAAATTACAAGACGCTTACTTAATTAAATAAGGAAAAGTTGCCTAAATATTTACCTCGGTGATGTCCTTAAAATCACTAGAGCATGCGCAAGGAAAACTTCCTGTGCTTCTTGAAATCGATTGACAAAGAACTTGCGTCAACTAACCGCAAAAACAAAAAACTTAACCTTTTAATAACAAAACTGCGTAGCGCTTTCGCGTGTGCCCTAGCTTGCGTTAGAAAGAACTTTCTAGATCTTTCTAGTTAAATCTAGAAATTGCGTTAGCGTGCGCGTGAAGAAAACAAAGGTTTCGGATAAAAAAATAAGTTGATTAAACGTGCGGCTAATTGCTGTAGCTACACATAATGTTCTTTACCCCCTCTGGTTTAATTTATTGAAATAGAAATAATTTGTTGAAATAGAAAAGCTGTACGAATGTGTTTACGCCAGTTTTCGGCATTCCACAAACTTGTCTTGAAAGACAGGAACCCAATTATAATGTCCTATTAACGGCTAAACTAACAGTACACGTACATTTCAACTAATTCCGCAATAAGTGCTTGTTTATATTAAGATCCTTACGTAAGGAAGGTTATTCTCAGGCGTAGTTAGATCACTTGTTTTCAAGTATTGTGCTTCCTAACATCACTTATGGGTTGCCGGTATATGGAGCTTCTGAGGCGGAGCTGACAGCAATGCAGTGTTTTCTAGATAGATGTTACAAACGTAAATGTACATCTAAATCATTTTCTATCAAGCACCTTCTAGAAAAGCAGGATAGAAAAGTATTTCGTAAGGTATCGGGCATAGACCGACACCCTCTAAGGGGACTATTACCCAAGAAGAAAGTATCGACTTACAATTTAAGGAATCGTACAAGTCAGTATCCGAAAGTTAATACAGATAGATTCAAGAACTCTTACATTAATCGCTTAATTTTTAAATACAATTTAGCTATGTGAGCGTATTTTTTTTTCTTTTTTTTTATTGTAAATAACTTAGATATATATACTTTTTACTCAAATATTGTAACATAGGATATGTATTTTTTATCTTGTGTGGAAATAAAGACTACTACTAAGACTACTACTATTATTTATTGTTCATTCAACATATTTCCCCGATTCTGATTGGCTAAAAGCACACGCATAATTCACCATAACCAACTACTGATGAATTTTGACCTAAAGTGCGGCCGTTATTTATTATTTATTAATGAGCTACAGAACAGAACTATAGACCGAGGCCTCATTGAGAACTGGATAAAAGTTTCGTCGATTGGCTCATAAAAAATTTTCGTAAGATGGGGGATCATTTCTTATAGCTTAACGACAGCGAACTAAGATTGCTTGTAGCTTGTACTTACCAAAAGGCCTTGGTGCGTAAATTATTTATAAGTGTAATTAATTATAATAAGTGCATGTATATGTGAAATGACAGGTTTCTTAGTCAAGAGTAAAATAACCATCCCTAATATACTTAGTGATATAAACTGGATCTATCTGATATCAAGTCTTCATCATGGAATTGCAATTCTGCCAGGCAAGATTGAAAGAGCTAACACAACTTGTCCACCTTCATGGAAATGTCATGCTCTCATTTTGTGTCTTAAACTTCGTGTTTTCTTTCGTGGCGGTCCTCGGGAACTTCCTTGTTATTCATGCTCTATGGAAAGCATCATTAATACCACCTACTATTAAGACGTTGTTTCTGGGTCTTGCCATCTCTGATCTTGCTGTAGGAATCTTGTCGCAACCAATGTTTGGTGTCATTATCGCCGTGATGTTAAGAAGATTATCAAATGGACAACACAACTTTGCTTTATTCTGCCCGACTGTTCTAACCGTATGTTATTATTTTATGTTTGGGCTCTCATTCGCGTCGTTTTTAAATGTTATCATCATAACACTGGATAGACTTCTCGCTGTTCGGCTCCATCTGCGTTACCAAGAGCTTGTAACGTTAAAAAGGCTTATTATAGTATTGGTGGCTTTATGGATCACAAGTGCTATCGGCACCTCCATATTTATTTTTGTTCCTCAAGGAAGTCGCTTAACAGGTGCGGTTATTGACTTTCTTGGAATTATTTTGACTACTGTGGTTTATATATATATTTACAAAGTTGTCAGGTTTCATCGAAACCAAATCCGATGCCAATTTCAAGTACAAAATCGTCAGGGACTGGAGATAACCCGTCAAAACAAGTCTGCCTATAACGCCTTGATCGTTTATGTTGTTTTCGTTGCGTGTTATCTTCCACTTTTCACAGCTATTATATTATTAACAGTTGAAAACTTTAGAAGCTCATTTTTGGTGTATGATCACGTCTCGATTTTTTTTGCTTTTCTCAATTCGTCGTTAAACCCCCTTCTTTATTGTTGGCGGTATCGAGAAATTCGCGTGAATGTGAAAAACAGTCTGTCAAATATATTTTGCGTAAGATAGGCGAACTGAAGCATAAACAGATATACAGTAAACACCCGCATATAAGAACAAATGGATTAAGAACACCGGGCTGAAATTTGGCCAATAAAGCCCCATGATCAGCCTGAAAATTGTAACTTGTTCTTACAAAATGGAAAAAGTGTCATAATTACAAAACATGTAAGTTTATTTTTGCTGTCAGAAAACTTCATTTGTTAATATATATTCAAATTACAGAATAATTGTCTATTTAATTTATTTTCTTCAGTAAAATATGCTAAATATACCTTAAGCAACATGTTTTGGATAGTATTACTAAAGAAAAATTTAAGAACATCTTAAGAACATTTTGAGGCTGATTTGTTATTAAGCACCCGATAAATAAGAACTCAATCAGCCTGGCCTCCGAAATCGTGTGTTCTAATATGGGGTTGTTTATTGTATACGAAGTCGCATCAGGCTGAAAGCAGCTTCAAAAAGCGAATTGCCAGAGCACAACAGTGTTTATCGAAGCCCTAAAAAAAACTAGGAAAAAGGAAGATCAAAATCCTGGATTTAAATACATAAATAGAGAAATAAATAATATAACTAAATAAAATAAAAAGAGCTTTATTGTGTAAACTCTGTCTTTTGAATACACACCCTGTACTTTTACTTGCATCAAATTTTAAAAATATTTCTCACCATTAAAAAAAACCTCAATTGCATGAGTGTAGCCTCTTCAATATTTCCTAGCATATTTAACCGACTCACCAAAGTCGACAATCATGAATATTTAGAATTCGCTAAGGTTTCCAATCACAATGTAAATGTACAATACATAAAATTAGATTCATTTCAATCCATCAATACATACCGCGGGCCGGCAGGTTTTCTTCAAATTAGTATATTAGCGCTTGTTTACCACCTGCACATTGATTACTGAGTTCATATTAAGACTCAGCAGCTACATATAGCAAACAAACGCTAAAAGTAAAAAAAGTGAGAGAAAAGGTGACCTTTGTAACTGACATTTTTTTCTCTTCTCCACTTCAGTGGATGAAAAACAAAGCAGATAAATACGTCTTCGCTCACACTACATAAAAGAATCCATTTATGAAAATTCCCGCGACAATTAAACGACCACCTTTTTTATTGCAGAGGGGATAATTGTTCAGAATGAAAATGTGTGAAAAATCCTTTCAGATAATCATGCAAAGGAAAAAATGTTGCAAACAAAAGTATGGTAAATTCAAGCAAACAGACGAATTTGTTACGTTCAGTTTTTATCATGACTGCCGCCCAACAATGCAATTTGTTTGGTAATAGTTGTTTACGGATAACATGTAAACAAAATTATAAAGTAAAGAGACACCAATATATGCCTGACTAATAGCGATAAAATCTGAGGATTGTTAAAGAAATATTCAAGCAAGCACCTTTCAATCAATATAAAGGCACGTAATCAATTGTTAAGCGCAAAAAAATGGTGTAATAGGCGTACAAAGAAACGTATTTTACAGTTTATCGATTTAAAAAAAGCGCGGTGTTAACTTCAGAAGTGTCTCAGCTAGCCCGCGGCTAAAATATTATCGTAAATTCTTGAAGACATTCATCAGGCTAGAACAGTTAATATCTCTTTAAATATTCTCAAAACATAGCCAAAGTCTTAAAGTCTTAATGATGCTGACAGTTTCGATGACTGTCAGCCATCTTTGTCAAAACTTGGAAATCGATGTTGTCTCACTATTCACCAAGACCCCTATACAGGAGACATTCGGTTAGCCATCATAAGAAAACGCCTAGAAAAAGATCAAGATCTGAAGAAAAGAATAAACCTAGAGGTTCATTATATAATGGATCTCACAGAATTTATTGCCACCACCACATACTTCAGTTTCGGAGGACAATTATTCAAACAGAAGTTCGGAACAGCCATGGGCAGCCCAGTATCCCCGATCCTGGCTAACTTCTTTATGGAATGGCTAGAACAACAGGCCATCGCCACTGCTCCCATAGACCGTAAACCTAAGCTATGGAAAAGATATGTGGATGACATCCTAGAAATCATTAAGAGGGGAAAGGTGGAGGCTCTGACAGGTCATCTCAACGGAGTAGACAAAACAAACAGCATCAAATTCACGCACGAACCAGAGAAAAATGGCCAGGGGCCCGTTTCTCGAACGTCCCGATAATTAACGGGCCCGGTAAGCCGTCTCCGTTTATATTAAAGATCGAGGTTTCAATAGTTTTGCACTATCAGTTATTGAAACAAAAAAGGAGTAGTTTGCTAGCCAGGACCCGCGCTCTTATTTTTTATATTTCGATTTGAATATTTAATTTCGGGCCCGAAATCAAAATATTCAAATCGAAATATTAAACATCAAAAATAATTAAATATTAAATATTAAATAATTAAATATTAAATATCAAATCGAGTTGCTCAAAGCTGGGTTAAGATAACCCAGGGTTAGTGCCAGATTTGAATTCAGATTTGAAAGCTTAAAAATCATTTTAGTTTTAATTCCTTTTGTCTACAAGTTGATGATTGGAAGCTCTAAAAATAACAGAGAAAATTTTCCGAGAAAATGCTTTTGAACAAAAGAAAAAGAAACCCTGGTTAAATTTAACCACGGGTAAAGCGCTAGTCGGCCTTCGAACAACTGGGCCCAGGAGGGAGGACGGATCCATCAAACCACTGGTTTACAGGAAAGCCACACACACAGACCAGTACCTGTCGTTTCAGTCGCATCATCCACTTCAGCACACACTTGCTGTCATACGGACGTTATTGGAAAGGAGTGACAGCATTGTCACGGAAGAAGACCGTAAACAAGAGGAAGAACACATAAGAACAGCCCTCCATACATGTGGTTACCTGGATTGGGCGATAAAGAAGGTCAAAGAGCAAATGAAAAGGAAGAAAGCTATTAGAAAAGACGAACCCAAGAAAGATAAAGCACAAGAAAAATCAAGAGGAGTGGTGACTGTCCCATACTCATTCACGGAGAAAATACAGTGGTTAAACCTCAAACCACCCTCAGACAGGTTTTAGTTTACCCGAAAGACAAAATTGATAAGCAAAAAAAGGTTAGAGTGGTGTACAAAATCCCGTGCAACCAATGCGAAAAGGTATACATCGGTGAAACAGGGAGACAGCCCGGAACCAGGATCACAGAACACAGAAAGGAAGCAGAAAAGACCTCTGACAAGAAATTTCACAAGATCCACCCGCAGAGCTTCCACCAATGAGCACCATAAATCAGCCATAACAGACCACGTCTGTCAGAACAATCATTTTATGAATCGGGAAGCAAGTGAAATAGTTGAGGAGGAAAGCGACAAGTTTAAGAGATGGTAGGTAGGTGGGTGGCTTCCTTGTTTTGTGTGAAAACCAGGGGGGTAGGGAGGGGAGATTTTGTCACTTTCATTAGAGTTTTATGTCAGAAAGCAGTGCAAAGTCAGAGAATTTTTCCTATGGCCTAGGCCAGCCAAATCAATGCGGTGACTCATAATCATAACACTACTAGCCGAGCTTGGGGGAAGTCATTGACTAGTCATAAGCTTCATGGGTGGGGAGGGTGTGTAGTTGCTCCTTGGACTTGGCCGTCTAGAGACTCAGTGCAGGCACCTTGTATGAAATCTACACAGATATATATCTTAAGAAGTATATATGAAGAGCACTGCACTTTGATATATATACATATTTATTAAATAGACACGAGTGTTTTACGGGGAAATATACCACTCGTAAAATTCATAAAAGCTACCTCCGGGACCCGAGTGGTTTATTTTCCATAATCTCACACGTGAGTTGATCGATGACGTAATTTCGGTAATTTCAGGAAATCAATGAGCGTGAAACAGACCAGCTTTATGACCCCTAGCTCAATATGAGGCAAAAGGCAAAAATAGACATATAGCATTTGCTCACTCAAATTCAGAAAGAATTTTCCACAGCAAATAACTTCCAATAATAACCTCCAAAAGATAAGACATGTAATCTCCATCTTTGTGTTGTTCAGCCTCGCTCGCTGAGGAGTGTCCCAGCCCGTAGAAGAAGCTTTCGCTCTATGTTTTTCATCGAAGGTCGGCCGAATTTCGTAATGTGGCCACTGAACAGGTTTCCGATTTTTGCAAAGCGTGAAATTGAGTAAGCATTTTTTCGTTGCACTTATGGCAAATCACGGACCGGATGAATTTATATGGGTGAATTTAAGTGCAATCTTTTCCGATATTTACGCTCCACGGCCTGACATGTCCATAGGGCTCTCAATCCTGTCTCGAAAGAAACGGCACAATTTCTTCTTCTTCTATCGCTGTATCAGTCCTCACTATTGTAACTAGTCAACAACACACTCTTCGGTGATAAGAAATACATCAAAAATATAACATAAGTATATATCGAACGTTCATTCATCGAGTCTTGGTGATCTCCCTCAAAGCATAGTCGAAAGCGGTCATTGCTTCACGCCCGTCTAGCCCATTTCCACATTTATAACACACAACACAACTAGAATATCTCTAGAATGTCCCAGTAATTTTTTTAAGGCGTCAAAAAATTTCTCAAGAGTGTTATTCGAAACTGAAGATGATTCATGGATCGAAATAACAATCAAAATTCAGCCGGAAGCATCGAAAGAAAAATCTCATTTTGTCAGATAATTTGAAGCCATTGGTCGCCACCTGATGCACAAGTCTTCCACCACTTGTTCTTCGATTGTGTTACTAAAATAAGGGCAAACACTGCTGGGAAAACGCGAAACACGGCAGATTTTCAAGCACTTCGAATCCACTAGAGGATATTATTAAGCCGCCATGTTGTGAAATAACCCTTAATTGTTTCGCACATTTGCAAAAATGGAAAAGCTCTGGACTGAGCTGTGCGGACTCCAATCAAACCAAAAAGGAACTAGTTTTTTCTTTTCCAATATCCTTGCCTTTCCTATCTTTACTTTTAAGGGTTTTTTTAAACAAAAAGCAGAGGAAAGAATTTTAATTATTTTCTCCCCCCTTACGCACGTTTCGGACGTGACTGACATGCCGGAATCCTCATTTCCGTAACTGAGCGCCGTAGCTTAAAAAACGCTCATTTATCCTCGTGCCTTTTTACATTTTTCTTTTGCTGAAAGCAAGGAATTGGCAGCTTAATCGCCTAGACTAGTACGGTCTTCAAAGCTTCAGTGGGTTTCTGACATAAGTTCTTCCATTGGTCTATTAAAGGAGCCGCAAAAGTTTGAAATCTATAGGTGGGAAGACGTTGAGAACGAACGTTAGTTATCAATCCCTAACTTCGCTAACCAAGGTGCATGCAGCTTCAAAGTATTAACACAAACAGTCCTCTTTACAAATTTGCATAGAGGGCCATTAAAAGTGTGTATCTGAGCACCTTTTTAAAGTAAGGATGTAAATACGTTGTTAAACTGGACTGATGATGTCACAAACTATACTGAGTCGGATATGGCTACAAAGGCTTGACAGCTTTTTCCTTGTCAGTTTTTAAGGTGAGATTATCGTTGTAGATTACTCAAGTTCACTCTGTTCAGAAAATCAAAACCAATCGACAGTGATAACGGACAACCTTTGATTTAGACGATTATACAGGAAGAATTTAAAGAACATAAAAATGATAAAACTCATTTTTTTCATCTGAAAAAAATAGCCCTTATCAAATTTGTTATTAAAATAACTGCAATTCGATATTAAACATTTAAAACTTTTGTGTACTAAAGAGTTTTAATTTCGTAGAAATTGTACTTCAAAACACGTCATTGACCAGCAAAAGTGATAGAGTGGCAATTTATTGATATCGGCAGGCTATTATTCAATACGGTATTAAAAAAAAAAAAAACAGATCAAGTGATAGCGTGACCATTTTTTAACATCCAGGCTATTAGTAAACGATAAAAACCTATAGAATATAAAAAAAATAGATCACTGAACTAGCCTAAACAAAATAAAAAGGGAAAAACATTACGTTTTCATAACGTACAAATGACATCTCTATTTTCTTTTCTTTTCGTTCGATGTCTATAAGTTTCTTTGCTTTTTCTTTTGCGCTCTTTATTAAATTTAAGGCTGAGAACAAAACCATCGTCGAAATGTAGGGTGGGAATAGAAATCTTTATTCTTTTGCCAGATTTAAAGTCGACAACGCGCGAATTTGTAATTAGTGTCGAAAGATAATCAGAAATCATTTTTTGAAAGCAAAGATTCTAAAGCACAAAGCCATATGCCAGTTTTCCTACACACGTCATACAGACTAATGAAATAGCTTTTTAAAATTCAATTACCCGAACATCATAAAGGAGTTTGTGTTTGAGGAACTATGACGAGTATAAATGAAAATTGCAATTGCAAGCTGGAATACAATCGGTAAAAACGGAAAAAGAAAATCAAACTGACAAAAACAGGAGATCTATCTCCTTTGTCGTTAAGTCGGGCGGCTGCTTTTTGCTTGCAGCAAGTGAACAAGCATTTCGAAAGGGAATATGGAATTTGTTCGCGTTATATAATTAATTGTTTATACCCTTAGGGAAAATGCGGACAATTTGGGTCAAAGGAACAAAGTGAAGTTTGGAGCAGACTATTCAAGGTTTAAAGACGAAAGTAGATGTATTTTCTTTGATGCAGAAGGAGAGAATGACTACATTTATATTGTAAAAGTACTGGGATTTTTAGTACGCTGATCTTCGCCGAAAAGAACTGAAATGTCAGATACAGCAAAGGTTTCCACCATTGCAGGACAGCAGGTCTGGGCGGCTGTCTCTGTTGTCTTTTGTGTTGCGGTTATATTAGTATTCTTCTTTATTTTATGCTGTGCTTATCGAAGGCATCGAAGGGTTAGAGACATATCCATGTTTACGCCTACAGCATCGCCGCAAGAATTAGCCAGCTATTCAACACCATGGATTGTTTCGACTGACATCAAAGAAAAAGGAGTTTCTTGTAAATGGACTGCGGTGTAGATGATTATATATGAGAACATTTGTCTTTCAATGTTCACAGTATGGGCTTTATTATATCTCTTGCGATAAGCGAAAACACTGGCAAAAGAAGAAAAAAGTTAAGCATGAGTTAATTGAAATTCATCTGAAGGAAAGATAATTTCAACCCGCAGGAAACAATCATTGTTTTCATAGCCCGTTTTACAGCCGAACCGGCCACGCTTGAAGCGTCAAGGACACTTTAAAAACCTTGAAAAATTTGGGGCAGAAATGTTGAACAAATAACCCAGTGGTAAACGGTGTATATCAACATACATCAACAGATGAGTAGATAGAATAAATGAAGCTCACAATCCATACAGACGCTGTACATGTTTTACGGCCAAAAATGAAAAAGTTATTTACATGAACTGAGAAATTATGGAAGAGGAAGCAGTTTGAGGATGCATGTAGTGCAGATACGGATTAGGATAGAAGTTTTGGCTTTTCCTTAAATGAATCATTTACTCTTATTCGTATTGTTCAAATAGAAACATTGAAAACTGCCACATTTTTAATGTTTGGTTTTTTGTTGTTCATATTTTTCATTAAGTTAGACACGCGATGAAAGGACTTCCTCGGGCAACTGTACAAGCAAGACAGAATAAGCTGTCATTATTTATCGAGCTCCCTTTTTCCTGTCTTTAAATTGTTGACTCAACTAAAAGCCTCAATTTGCAAAAGAGGGTTTTGTAGATAAAAATATGACTGTATAATTTTCAGAGACAGTTTTCTAGCCGAAACTTCATGACCCGCGGCTGAGACCTAAAATTCTGTGTAAGATGGGAACAAACATTTTCTTATTACAAAATTATAATGCGTAAAGTAATATTTTCCTATAGAAAAAAAAAACATTTTACATGTGACAAGGTAATTAAATTCGTATTTTCCAAGGTCATTACGATATTAAATTTAGATGGAA